AAGCAACAGAAGAGCTACAACAAAAAACATTCCTACTTTTATTCATACTGAATGAACCAATAAACAAGCAACAGAAGAGCTACAACAAAAAACATTCCTACTTTTATTCATACTGAATGAACCAATAAACAGACAACAGAAGAGCTACAACAAAAAACATTCCTACTTTTATTCATACTGAATGAACCAATAAACAGACAACAGAAGAGCTACAACAGAAAAACATTCTTACTTTTGTTCATACTGAATGAACCAGTTATAATAACCAATGAAAGAGAAGTAAAAATAGAGGCACATAAATTACTTAAAAAATAAACAAAGTTCTTCAAGTAATTATCTTTGACATAAGTTGGTTAAATCATTTAATTTCAATAGTAAATTAACTGACTGGGAGTAAGTTAAACAGAAAAAAGTAATTAATTTATTTGGAGTAAGTTAAACAAAAAAGAGTAATTAATTAATTGGGAGTAAGTTAAACAGAAACGAGCAATTAACTGAAAGGGAGTAAGTTAAGCAGAAAAGAGTAATTAACTGATTGGGAGTAAGTTAAACAGAATGAGTAATTAATTAATTGGGAGTAAGTTAAACAGAAAAGAGTAATTAACTGATCGGGAGTAAGTTAAACAGAATAGAGTAATTATATAACAAGCAAAATTTCGGTTTCCTAATTTAAGGAATTAATCACAGCCTTCATAAATGCTGCTGCTGCCAGGGCTGCGTATGGTTGCCACTCTTTATCTACCGTTCCATCTCTGTAGTCCGAAATGCCTCTTAGGAAAATGTAGTTGTCTTGACGATTTCCATACAAAGACTCAGCTACTGCATCAAACTCAGAATCAAATGCTTTGATGCCATGTTGATGAGCAAACTCGAGTCTTTCTGTATCATCCATCTTGCCAGAGCCAACAACACCAAAGTGAACAACTGGGGAAATTGACGTATGTAGGTCTTCTGTTCCTGTTGGGGGTTCGGGATGAGAAACCTCGATCACATTTTCTCCCTCAACAGATACAAAAAGTTTATCGGACTCAGATGATGGTCGGGAAAAGTTTGCTTCTTGATCCAACAACAGTTGCTGTGCTTCTTCAATGTAGTTTTGCCACTGCAGAATGTTTGAACTCTGCTGCTGCCACACGAGCTGTGCATACTTCTGCAACTCATAGTTGGGTAAAGCCCATGTTCTCACTTTGTAACCACCAGAAGAACTCGTACCCTGTAGTCCTAGAGCCTTCTTCTTTTCACAATATACATAAATGTAATTATGTTCTTCTGTCGGTGCTGACACTACTACATCTCCTAATCGCACATGCTTCTTATAGTCTGTATAATGAGGCACTCCACCACCAACTCCAACAAGGAAAACATATTCAACATTTTGAAAGGTACCTAAAAGTTACATAATATTACATAAATTTAAAGAAATTATTTTTATATACATGCTAGTACACAAGACTTCAACACACGTTTTTATTCACACATACAGTAGTGTAACAAGATCCAAACTTTACTCTTGGTTTACACATGCAGGATTTCAACATTATAAACAGAAAGAACCTTACCTAAAAGTCGAGTAGTTGTGTTACCAGCAGCAATCATAGCTGATCGATCATGACCAACACAAGGTAATTTAGTGGCTACAACTCGATGTGACCCAATGTTACCAAGGGTATAGACGTGGGATTCACCTCACATAAAGAATATATTTGCAATTATGGATATGTCAAAGTTACTCCTTAATAAGTCTATATACCAGTACATCTATTTCCCAGAACTTAAATATGTGATCATCAACCTATTGGTTAAACTGGAACTTAGTGATCCAATAAGAGTAATTTAACATTTTAAGAATATGACTACCATAACTAGAGGTTATTACTTACTGCACTTGTAAGTGTAACTAGAGGTTATTACTTACTGCACTTGAAAGTGTAACTAGAGGTTATTACTTACTGCACTTGAAAGTGTAACTAGAGGTTATTACTTACTGCTCTTGTAAGTGTAACTAGAGGTTATTACTTACTGCACTTGTAAGTGTAACTAGAGGTTATTACTTACTGCACTTGTAAGTGTAACTAGAGGTTATTACTAACTGCACTTGTAAGTGTAACTAGAGGTTATTACTTACTGCACTTGTAAGTGTAACTAGAGGTTATTACTTACTGCACTTGTAAGTGTAACTAGAGGTTATTACTTACTGCACTTGTAAGTGTAACTAGAGGTTATTACTTACCAAATTTTAAGAAAATGATCAAGATAGTTAAGAGATTATTAATATTTGCACTTCAAGAATATAATCACGATAGATTTGCACTTCAAGAATATAATCACGATAGGTTTGCACTTCAAGAATATAATCACGATAGATTTGCACTTCAAGAATATAATCACGATAGATTTGCACTTCAAGAATATAATCACGATAGATTTGCACTTCAAGAATATAATCACGATAGATTTGCACTTCAAGAATATAATCAAGATAGATTTGCACTTCAAGAATATAATCAAGATAGCTGAAGTATAATTTTCTCCTATTGCTAGAACAAAAATAAATCATTTGAAATGAAACAATAACACAGCTAAGGATCAGCCAAATCTTTTTTAACCTCGGTATTATAAACATCTTACAATAGGTTTACTTTGTTTGGCTGATACATGTAATGAATTCTTCAAAGGCTCGTATGTCATGCATCTCCTGTTCAGGCTTCACAAAACAAGTCTAAATATAACACAAGTTTCCATAAAACAACTTTATGTAGACACTTCTCAGATAAGTGTAAGCTATAATTTCTAAATTACCTTCTGTTTTATATCTGAAATACACATCTCTGTTTTCTATCATTGCATCAACAGCCACCTTCTCACAGTACTGGGCTGTAATAATTGCAATGGTTGGCTGCTGGAAACTAACAACCTTTGGCATCTGATGAACCATTTTGACATCTAAAAATAAAAGAAAATAATTATGATATAAGTGGAATTAAAAGAAGTAAGAATTAAAAAGATAATAACAATATTATACGAACAATCTGCCAGACTTATGAGGAGCAGGAAGGGAACATACTTATAGCATTCTACCAGCTTTATTAGAGGAAGAAGGGAAAAATAGTGAAAGTAGTCTTCTAGCTTTATTAGAGGAAAGAAGGGAAAATATTATAAGTAGTCTATCAGCTTTATTAGAGGAAAGAA